TGGTTTTTAAAGCGAGATGGGTTAGTTTTTTCATTTTGAACTTGTTATATAGTCTTTATAGTGAAATTTGTGTGTTTCTTAACTTGTAAGTTTCGTTAAGGTTTTTATAGTGAAATCGGTAAGTTATTTCACTTTGAACTTTTGATATGGTCTTTATAGTGAAATTGATGAGTTTTTTCACTTGGAACTTTTGTTATTGTTTTTAAAAGGAAATTGATGATTTTTTAACTTTGAACTTTTGTTTTGTAATTTATAGTGAAATTGGTGAGTTTTTTTAACTAGGAACTCTTATTATGATTTTTATAGTGAAATTGTGGGTTTTTTTAACTTGGTAGTTTTGTTATGGTTTTTTGAGTGAAATTGGTGAGTTTTTTCACTTGAAACTTTTGTTGTTGTTTTTAAAGGGAAATTGGTGATATTTTAACATTTAACTTTTGTTTTGGTTTTTATAGTGAAATTGGTGAGGTTTTTTTACTAGGATGTTTTATTATCATTTTTATAGTGAAATTGTGAGTTTTTTAATTTGGCTGTTTTGTTATGGTTTTTTGAGTGAAATTGGTGAGTTTTTAAAATTTAAACTTTTGATATGGTCTTCCTAGTGAAATTGGTGAATTTTTTCACTTGAAACTTTTGTTAATGTTTTTAAAGGGAAATTGCTGATTTTTTAACTTTGAATTTTTGTTTTTGTTTTTATAGTGAAATTCGTGTGTCTATTTTAACTTGCAACTTGTGATATGGTTTTATATTAAATTGTTGAGTTATTTTAAATTGAAACTTTTGTAATGTCCTTATAGTGAAATTAGTGAATTTTTTTAACTTGGAACTACTGTTATGGTTCTTAGAATGAAACTTAATTTTTTTGATATGGTCTTTATATTTAAATTATTGAGTTTTTTGACTCTAAACTTTTGTTATAGTTTTTAAATTGAAATTGGTGCCTTTTTAACTTTGTACTTTTCTTTTGGTTTTTATGATGAAATTTGCTAGTTTTTTTAACATGGAACTTGTGTTATGGTTTTTATAGTGAAATTTTTGTGTTTTTTTAACTTGAAACTTTTGTCATGGTCTTTATAGTGAATTTTGTGAGTTTTTTAACATGAAACTTTCATTATTGTCTTTATAGTAAAATTGATGAGTTTTTTTAATTTTGAACGTTTGTTATTCTTTTTATAATGAAATTTATGAGTTTTGTAACTTGGAACTTTTGCTTTAGCTTTTAGAGTATATTTTGGTGAGTTTTGTCATTTTAACTCTTGATATGGTCTTCATAGTGAAAATGGTGAATTTTTAACTTTGAACTTTTGTTTTGGTTTTTAGAGTGATTTTATAAGTTTTTTATCTTGGAGTTTTTATTATGGTTTTTATAGTGAAATTTTGAGTTTTTTTAACTAGAAAGTTTTGTAATGGTCTTTATAGTGAAATTGGTGTGTTTTTTCACTTTGAAGTTTTTTTATGGTTTTTAAAGCGAGATGGGTTAGTTTTTTCATTTTGAACTTGTTATATAGTCTTATAGTGAAATTTGTGTGTTTCTTAATTTGTAAGTTTCGTTAAGGTTTTTATAGTGAAATCGGTAAGTTATTTCACTTTGAACTTTTGATATGGTCTTTATAGTGAAATTGATGAGTTTTTTCACTTGGAACTTTTGTTATTGTTTTTAAAAGGAAATTGGTGATTTTTTAACTTTGAACTTTTGTTTTGGTATTTATAGTGAAATTGGTGAGTTTTTTTAACTAGGAACTCTTATTATGATTTTTATAGTGAAATTGTGGGTTTTTTTAACGTGGTAGTTTTGTTATGGTTTTTTGAGTGAAATTGGTGAGTTTTTTCACTTGAAACTTTATTGTTGTTTTTAAAGGGAAATTGGTGATATTTTAACATTTAACTTTTGTTTTGGTTTTTATAGTGAAATTGGTGAGGTTTTTTTACTAGGATATTTTATTATCATTTTTAT